ATTCAATGGTCACTTTTTGGTAAAGTTATATTCAATGGTTGAAAAAGAAAGAAATGCAAAATCTAAAAAGAAGAGTGCAAAATCACACTCATTTTTCAGAGCATGCAACACTGCAGCTTGGTTTACCTAATTTTTTGTTTTTTAGAAGGCTGATATTATCCATACATCTTTTTTATTTTTTATATATTGTTTTCAATTTTGGTTGTCAAATTAAATGAGTTGAAGAAGATCAAACGACAAAAAGTAACATGAGTGTGTAGGAACTAAAAAAGAGTGTGAATAGCACCACTTTGTAAAGAAAAGAGAGAAATTTTCAAGAGTAATGCTACATTTACCATCAAGTTGTACCATTATTTGTACAAATAGATGATAAGAGTAGTATTTTTGAATTTTCGAAGGGAAAGGGATCCTCCCCAGATCCCTTCCACCAAATTCATAAATCCGAACCCTTAAAATTTGATCCAACAGTTAAAAACATAAGATTTCTTTAAAAGTTATGATAATTTTAGTCGTTGGATTAAATTTTAAGAATTCGAATTGGTGGATTCGGTGGAAGAGATCCGGAAAGGATCCTTTCCTTTTCGAAGGGGCGTTCGGATGCATGAATTAGACACATCTCGTGCATGAATTACACTTGCCACTCATGCATGGTTGGAATTTGAGAACGCATGCATGGCTCACGTTTTTTTTATCATTTGTGTGAACATTTGGAAGCGTTGACAGGTCGTTTGTTTTCAGTTGAGTAAATACGACATCATGTCGTATGGATCTTCTTCGAATATTTTTCTACTGTTGTTGTTGGTGCAATTCTACAAAATATGATGAGGCAAGCCGCAAAGGTGGAAAGTTTTATTTGAAACTTGAACGTGAAAAATCATTTGATGTACTGAATTTCGTATTGTTCAAGCACGACCTCATTTGTGATTTTTCCTCGTTGACTAGGATTCAGAATTGTTGCCAAAATGACTGACTTGAATGAAGGAAGTTTTAACGAAATATTTTTAGTATTATTTATTTTTAACGAAAATGATATTTTTATTTCAAAAAGTCATTTTTGATGGTTGGAACTATTCACTTACAACACATTTTTGTTATTTTGATTAAAACTTAAAGTTTTCAAGTCATTTTTATTAGTTTTTCTTTGAATGAATGATGTTCCAATTTGCACATGCGTATGCCATAGACAAAATAATTGTTGACAGTAACAGAGCTAGCATGGATTTATTGATTTCCTTAATTATAGCAATTAAAAAAAATTCACATATATTTGTTTTTGTATTGTATTTGACCTTATAAACAGTTAAGACAAACTAAATTACAATCTCCTCTGCCTACTTCTTCTATTTATCATCTTTGTTTTCCTTCTCTCTTCTTGTGTGCGACTTTGTTGTGCATACTATGTGCTCGATGAAATATCTTAGTTGACAAACCTTAACAGTCTTTACTCCACAATATGTTACATCCACTCTATACAAGCCTCTACAAATAATGATATTTGTCGACATATGTTGGCATAAGTTTTTGACATATGTTGGCAGGAATGGGTAGGTGGATACTAGTGCTTGATGAAATAGACAAATGAAGTTTTTTTTATTGATATTATAACCCTGTCATTTGAAAATCTTAATTCAACCAATGATAAATACGTGTAAATTCTTGAGCTACAAATTCTTTAACATTAAGCTACTGAAAACTCATTTTTATATGCAAGTTACAGTATTTTATTTATTATCATACCTAAGTGGTTATCCAAATTACTTTATTAGGTGACAATCAATAACAGTACTATTATATATCAACGAATTTTGAAGTTAGGATTTTTAATTTGCATGGGAGGAACCCAAGGTATTAAGTAGGAGAGAGAGATTAACAAAAAATAAGAGTCGGTATCAAAACCAGAATTCAAGCTATAAATGCAGCAAATATGCATGAATCAAATTAATTAAATTAGTACAATTCAGCCTGGGTGATTAGATAGCTTGATTTAACCTTCACCATAGCATGCGTATAATAAATTAAGTAACCTAATTCTGTCTTAATCTCAACCATGTTAGGAAGCACCGGATCTCACTAATTAATAAATTAGTGGTAGTTTAATTAACTACTTCGAGCTCCAATAAACCCTAGGGTTTGTCGATGTTGTGGTCCATGGATGGCGATGGATACAGTAGCCTGTCGGTTCTCAAATGAACTAAAATGATTAGTCATTATTTAATAGGAAAATTTTAACGAAAAGTTTTCGGTACTATTCACTTTAATGAAAAATCACATTTTTACACTAAAAAGTCAATTACAATACTATTCACTTTACCCTTAATTTTGTCTTTATCGTTAAAACTCAAAAATTTCAATCCATTTTCATTAGTTTTCTTTATTTAATATCATTTAATTATATTATACCTAAGCATTCCAAACCAATCCAACCCCCATGATCTTTAGAATGATGCTCGCCTTGTTTGTTATGCTAACGCACTTATTAAACCCACACTAGGTACGTTCCCAAATAGTTATGTGTCACATCTCGGCCTGGAGGGGGGACCACTTCCCGGGACTGCTCCACCACCGTAACACGATATTGTCCGCTTTGGGACCCGACCACGCCTTCACGGTTTTGTTTTTGGGAACTCACACGAGAACTTCCCGATGGGTCACCCATTCTGGGAGTACTCTCGTGCGCTACTCGCTTAACTTCGGAATTCCAACGGAACCCGAAACCAGTGAGCTCCCAAAAGGCCTTGTGCTAGGTAGGGATGAAAATATACATATAAGGATCACTCCCCTGAGCGATGTGGGATCTAACAATCCACCCCCCCTAGGGGCCCGACGTCCTTGTTGGCACACCACTGCCAGGGTTAGGCTCTGATACCAAATTGTCACATCCCGGCCCGGGGGGACCACTTCCCGGGCTTGCTTCACCACCGTAGCACGATATTGTCTGCTTTGGGCCCCGACCACGCCCTCACGGTTTTGTTTTTGGGAATTCACATGAGAACTTCCTGATGGGTTACCCATCCTGGGAGTGCTCTCGTGCGCTACTCGCTTAACTTCGGAGTTCCCATGGAACCCGAAGCTAGTGAGCTCCCAAAAGGTCTCGTGCTAGGTAGGGATGAGAATATACATTTAAGGATCACTCCCCTGGGCGATGTGGGATGTCACATATGTCTTCACCGTTAGAGATACTGTATATCTTGGAGGTCCACAATATAGACTTTAGTTGCAAAATCTTTGAATTATTCCAAGACTCACCCCACCTTACTACACTACACGTGAGAGACATGGTTGAGAGCTCTTATTGAGATTATCCGAAGTACTTGTAGTTTTTCATCCATGGTTGAGTCCTAACGACGATCCATAAAAACTATGCCGTATGTATCAACCATACCAAAACATGGTACATCAACGAAGTCAATGCTAAGCATATTGCCTCTACATAACATCATTAGAGCGTTAGGAGATTGAAGTTAAGCAAACTGAACTCAGACAACTTTACCGATCTTTTCACAAAGTCATTGTCAAAGTCTACCTTCTAGAAGCTTGTCCGAAAAATTTGTATGCGTAACTATCTTATTTGCAATGCTTTACTTGTATCTCATTTGAAAATTTATTAAACTCACGAGTTTGATGTGTAACCAGCATCACATTAGTTTGTGCAGCCAATAATTCTTTACAGTTTTCAAGGATTTCAGTTCAGAAAATAGTTTTCAGGAATTTCTGATGAAAATTAAGCCAACAAGAAAACAATTTTAAGTATCTGAAGTCTCTCTAGTGTGCTTTCGTCACGTTTTAGGACATGCTCTCCAATCTAATTGACCGGGAACGAGTCCAATACTGGTCCCCAATCTAATTGATGATGTAAAGTGCAAACCCTACTCATCTTCGTCTATTGTCCATCTACGACATGCTCTTCACTTTCATTCTTTTTAAAGTACGCACAAACTCCACTAAAGACGATTCGTTTAAAATGCCTTTAAAATAACTGAAAGCGTTAAAAACAACATTTGATAGAGCAAATTGATATGATTGTAATTTTAAGGATACTTTTTACAGTTAGAAATGAGATTGCCTTTAGAAAAACTAAAAGTGTTTTCTAATATTAAAAAACGTTTCTAACTGCGTTTGGCAGAAAAATCTAAAAGTATTTATATATTTTAGAAGCATTTACGAGAAAAGCATATGGATGCTACTTTATGAAGCACCTTAAAAAACCTTGAAGCAATCCCAAACAAGTAGTCTTATGCCGAGTGTTTCTTTTGAGAAGTAGCTTTTCTAAAGCGTTTTTACGAATATAAATGAATGTTTACGACAAGAAACTTCAAGCAAGCCCTTGCATTGAGTTGGCCTTGTTAAAATCCATTTTTGATGTCGGACTTCTTATTAAATCCCTACTATGAGAAGAACAATATTTGGCTATCCAAAATTGTTCGTTGCCAATTAATAGAACTTCGTGTTTATAATAAGAACCGTTCATATTATAAATCACCCTATAAATATCGCATCTACAAAAAATTGATGAAAACTAATGTCGTTTAGTTATCAAATTGTTTAAAAACAAATGAACAGTATTGGTAAAAACATTACGAACCGTCTATGTATTTGTTACAATAGATTGACTGAACGAACTTAGTTTTAATTTATTTTTTGCAAATATGATCTTTACGGTGTGATTTATAATGTGAACGATTCTAATCATAAGCACAAAGCTCTGTGATTAAAATACTAAGAGTTTTGAGTAAGAGTTCATATTCATCTTTGAGTAGCCAAGTATTATTCATGTGGCTCTAATATATTTATTCAAATATGTTCTTTATTTTTTATACTAAAGGTCGATACTTTTCCACCAAGAAAATGAAGTTGCCACTTTTGCCTAAAGGCCGACAAGAAAAATTGACTCAACAGGGGGCTTCTTGTACGGCAAGAACTACTTTGGTTGGTGTTGAAAAATGAACTAAAACCAAGAGAAGGAAACACAAAGAGACCGACAGAAGGAATAAAAAAAAAAATTCACTTTCAACTGGCACGTTAAGGTGGCGGTATCGCAAACAAATCACGTGAAACCACATATGGTGTGATGAGTCAGTTTGAGATATCGTCACCTGAGCGTCGTAGTTACATGTTTATGATGTAATAATTCTGTTACAGTGTCTCGCATAGAGGTTGCAATATGCAGCAGATTAATCTGAATAAAATGAGATAAATTCTGCAAGTGAAAATAAATAAATCAGACCATGTAAGTCATTCCCACTCGCATGATGTTCATGTGAGGCACACTCATATTTGCAGGACTTGCTCTGCTGTTCCTCCTCAAGAATGCATAGAAGTAGTTTATGACTAGCTTCTTGAAGAAAAACGATTTCTTCTTTGCCCTCACATCTCCGTGCGCTAGCAAATACGTAAATCCTGAGTCCATTGCTTCTTGAAGTGCAGAGAGCTCATACTCCAGACTCGGGTCTTCATCCGATGACATCACACTGGACGGCAATGTTGCAGCGGCAGCAGTTTCTTCAAAGGTTGAACTTCCTCCTACCCCTTGTGATCTTCCGTTGCGCATCAATGGAATCCTGAGTTCCTCAATCTCATCGCTTCCTGGGACTCCCGAATCCCTTGAGCTGGAAGAATCATTGTCAAAGTCTGAGTCATTTAAATTGCTCTCCAAGGCAATCTCGTGAGCTTCCATCCTCAGAAACTTCTCCAGGCTTTCAACAAGAAGTTGTTCAAATGAATGGTGATCTTCCTTCCGGATATCCTTGTAACCGTATCGGGCTACACAGCGGAACATATGGTAGTCTTTTGGGCAAACTCTTCGAAACAGAAACCTTTGTTCCTGAGGAACCACTGGGACAGGGACATACTTAATGCAGACAAAAACTATAGTGGAGTGGATAGCTGGAAGGCTAAGAAGGAATTGCACAAAAATGGATGGGATGCCTTGGACAAGCTCACTATACAGCAATCCAATTCCCGGGACTCTCACAGTCCCTAGTGTGGAGCCAAGATCGGTCACGGAGTCCATGGATAACTTCTCCCTGACCTCGCTTCGGTACTTCAACACACTCCCATAGTTCCAAGTGTACATCACACAGAGGAAGCAAGAGGCGAAGGCAAGAGGCAGCCAGCCACCCTCTTTGATTTTTGATAAAACCGCACACAAGTAGATAAACTCTATTGATCCAAATACAAGCGGGAAACATAAAGCCAGAAACAAGTTGGTCTGCCAAATGAGAAGCATTACAAGTGTCACCAAGGTTGTGCTCACCATCATGACACCGACTTCAGCTATTCCTGCGTGAATAAATATAATTGTATTAGCAAAATTATCATTACACATTTATAGTTGATATATTGTTAGCTCAACTCCAGTCGGATTAATAAAACTCATATATATTGTTGTGAAGAATATAAGCGGAAGATTCCTGCCTCGCGGCATATAGAATTTCATGTGATAAAATCAGAATATGAATGTTAAACCAACGTCATTTCAAATATAAGAATATCTTTGCATATTGAAAATATTATAGGAAGGAGAGGAAAAGGATAGTTCACCATATGCATTGGCAATCTCTGTGGTGCTTTGAAAGATGGAAACTACAACTATGCACATGATCATTAAAAACCAATTGATAATAGGGATGTAAATTTGGCCCATTCGCCTCTTTGAGGTGTGAACTATCTTTAGCCTTGGGAAGCATCCGAGAGCCATTGATTGCTTAACACATGAAAATGTAGCAGATATCATCGCTTGGCTAGCAATCATTGCAGCAAGGGTAGCTACCACAAAGACTGGCCAGAAAAGACTATCTGTTTGTTCACAAGATTGAGGAACTGTAAGTTTCAAACTAAGGAACCAAATAAAGAGAGATGCCCCTTTACGGAACAATAAGAGTAAAGCTGAGAAGAATGGTAGCCAAGATGTTGGAAAGTGTCACCTGGCACAGAATCATAGAATATTCTAGCCGATGAATCTGTATGTTTCATCAGATAGGCAGCTTGGCCCATGTAAGCTAAGAGAAGGCAGGGGAACACCACAAAACTGAAGGCAACCTGCACAAGATGTATAGATTATACAATGCTTTCGGTAAAATAAAATGGATAAAGCTATTCTTCAAGGGAGAGATGAAGGTATGCATTGGCCAACCTGAATGGCTCGCACAGAGAAATGTCCTAGATCAGCAAACATAGCTTCGGCTCCTGAAATAGCATAACCACAGTTGGGAAGTTTTCTTTACTATAATCCATAGGAGAAGTTGAAAAAAGGAAAAACAAATGGCTCTCATTAGAAAACCTAACAGGCTTTAAAGGTGAGATATACCTGTTATGCACAGAACACAACCACCAAGAGCGTACCATGCTTCCTTATCGTTCTTCTTGAAGAAAAAATAAATATAAGCAGGATTGAATGCCCTCAGGACGGTAATGTCATACTTCACTAAATTGTAGATTCCAATTGATGCCAGGCTGAAAAACCACAAGGCAAGTATTGGAGAAAACATGACACCCACTTTACCAGTCCCAAACTGCTGTATGGTGAACAATAGTAGGAGAATTACAATCGAAAGAATAACCACAGCATCTGCAATAAAGATCAATCAGATAATGGGTCATATTGTCCACAACTCATAAGTTATTATTTTTGCTCTACCCTTTCGATTCCATCCCAGGTAAAAAAAATAGTTCAGTAAACAAATGAACCACAGATTCTCAATCAGACAAAGAAAAAGATACTCACTTGTACCAAAACCTGGCACTTCACCTTGCAGGCCACTCACAGCAGACATCACTATGACAACCAAAAAAAAGAAAGTACATCAATATACTCTCCTACACAGATACAACGGAAAACACTTGTATGTAATGTATGAAAATGATTGTGCACAATATCACAGTTTCAGCCAGGTTTAACGAAAAGTCCTACTTCCTCATTATGATTTCCTGTCTAAGGAAGAGGTACTTGAAAACGATGCCAGAAAAATCCATGGCTGTTAACAGGAATGTAATTTCATGTCAGTAACTACAGCTTAGACATATTTTCGTTGGCTAAGTATATCATGAATTTCCACCTCAAGCCCAATCAAGTAATGTACCTGATATTGCTGGGGTTAGAATACCATCTCCTATAACCATTGACGTTCCCATCAAAACGAACAACAAGAGGATAGTTTTCAAGAGTGATTTCTTTTCTAAAGTTTCTTTTATCTGCAAAGCCCTTTTCAACTGTGGAGTGGGCAATTTGAGCCTATAATTTGAGATGTGTTCATCAGCTGGCTGACGATTTGGCAGCATATTAACATTTGCATACCTGCATATCAGTGAGTACAATGCAAATGTTCCTCCTACAATTGGAAACATGAATAGTGTAAAGGTTAACAAGTACTCACGCGACCATATTACTACCAAGCAACTAAGGACAAAATAATTGTGAAACGAAAAAGTGCCTACCTTCTCCATTATCATTGGCTTTGAGAACTACGAAAACATATTTTGCTAAAGGTATAAGCGCAATTGTGTACATCACAAGTGACAAAGCTCCCAAGACATCAACATCTGATTCGACGGGCACCCTGCCGAACACATCAGCAAAGACATATAAAGGGCTCGTTCCCACGTTACCGTAGACCACACCAAGAGTCTGGAATCCTAACAGAAGAGTGCTCCAAACAGAATGATCCTGATTTATTAATTTAAGTTAGTCATACATAGGATAGTATTATAGTAGCATTTTCTAACTCTTTACATTACAGAATTGAGACAAGGTAATTTTGTCAGCAAATATGGAGTACCAAATCATGATTCTGCTGACATACAACTTCTTAAAGAAAGGGTTCACACGTTGTAACATAAATGCCATATTATAAAGATTATGTTTTTGATACAAACGATACTCTACTCCAAACTAATCTAAATTGCAAGGACGAGGATTCAAACTCGGGTGCATAGCGAAGCACCTCCGCTCTAGTGGATGCGGCTACACCCACGTCTGCAAAGTAACATACTTCATTCCAAATATACCAAATTACCAATCTTACACCTTTGATGAATATAGAAGTAATTAACACATAAAGAAAAACACTAAAAGCACATAAATTTCTCTAATTTCACAAAAAAAGGGAAGAAAAACGAAAGTAATTGTGGTATTACCTGGCCACCAGCACCAGCAATCTCCATGGCTTCCACATCAAGAGAATCAACTCTATCGGGCTTCTTCCCAAGCCTCCTCCTGAGAGATCCTCCATACCCTTCTCCACCTTCGCCTCCTCCATTCTCAGAAAGCAACGACCAGGCCGGCGACTCCGAGTCCACCTCGCTCCCATCCACCCACCGCCAGTCACTCCCGACCCCACTCCAACATCCTCCTGCCAATCTCTCACCCCTCTCCACAATCCCATCTTCTTCTGCCATTTTTGCACAAGTCCTTCAGAACCCACATGCAAAAATCCAATCTTTTTACTCTAGCTTCAGTAATTGGTCAGGAAATTGAATGATTTGTTGTGGGTTACTAGTCGTGCCTGCCGAGGTTTGAGCCTGGCGGAGGAGCGAGGAGTGAGCAGTGAGGAGTGATGAGTACAGCGACAGAGGGTTCGAGTACCGAAACGTACATTAGTGACATGATGACAACAAACCATTCTTTTATCTTGGTTCGGCTTTTCAGCCAAATGAGTAGATGGATTCTGGATAATCTCTATTGGGCCATAATCATAGGTTCACTCGCATTTTTCATATTTTATAGGTACTATCTTGCTTCTTTTGATAGGATTCTTTGGATATATCCTCACAGAGGATCTCAAGAATTTTCTAATTACATCCATTCATCGTATATCATGTATTCATCGTATATCGTGCAGTCGAAAGTCATGTAGATGTCCTAAACAACATGACGTTTAGACGACAATAGAAGACTGGGCCTCGATATCAGATAACTCTACACATAAGCCCAATAATGGGCCCGTTGGGCTTGTATTACTCGAAACTCGCAGACAAGGTTAAGAGAGGAAATTCACCACAAAGGTTAAAAGAGGAATGCACAAGCCGACGAAGAACACGCGGGGAAATAGGCTCTGGTTTCTAGGGTTTATTCGAGCTCTGCGATTCCACGCGCAGAGCACCCAGTTCGTTTCCCTGTCGCTCCGATCGATCAAATTTCACAAATTCTAGGGTTTTTCTCAAGGTAATATTCAACGATATTTCTGCCGCTTTTCGCTTCGCCTATATCATTAAACTTTCCATATGTTCAACTTTTTTTTCCTGGAAAGTTCGATTCTTTCTGGAATTTATATGAGAATCGTTTTTATTGGATTAATTTTTTTTGTTATATATGTATGTTTTATTAGGTTGAAGGTGGTATTGCGACGATGACTCGGGTTTATGTTGGAATTTGGATCCTCGAGTGAACGAGAGGGATCTAGAAGATGAATTTCGGCTGTTCGGTGTTCTTCGCAAGTATTTTCTGCTGCATTACTCTTGTTTTTCGTTGTCTTAACGACTCGCGATCGATTTTCTAAGGTTGGAAAAGATTTGTGTTGCTAAGGTTTATTTTTATGAAATTGATGACAGTGTATGGGTTGCACGAAGACCGCCGGGATACGCATTTATTGAATTCGACGATCGCAGGGATGCTCTAGACGCGGTTCAAGCTTTGGATGGTTTGCCCAATTATCCCTCTCTAACTGTATTTGTGTGTGTTAATTTGTTTTTATTTTAACTTTTGCAACTTTAAGTTATAAGCTTTTGTGTCTTATCATTTTTTTGTCTGCAGGTAAAAATGGGTGGCGTGTGGAGCTTTCCCACAATTCTAAGGGTAGTGGAGGCCGTGGGCGCGGTGGAGGAGATGACTTAAAGTGTTATGAGTGCGGTGAACCTGGCCATTTTGCTCGAGAATGTCGCATGCGTGTTGGTTCACGAGGAGGGAGTGGTGGAAGGCGCCGAAGTCCATCCCCTCGACGCCGCAGAAGTCCTAGTTATGATGGCCATGGGCGCAGGTGTCATCATCTTTCTTTTTTAACTTAACTGTGTTAAAATTGTGCCTCTGTATTCTGATGACCTGTTGCCTTTCCTCTTTATGCTTTTGTTGGTTTCAAATTCAATGGTTATGAGGATTGCTTGTACCCTGATTCACCGCATCATTCTTGGTATGCGTGTCTCAGCTGACTTAGAATAGAGTTATGGAAACTTCGATACATTATTCCTGTGTGTTTGTTGACCTGGGAATTCGATACATTGACTGCCTTGTGCTTGCCAAGTTTTTTGATCTGGAACAAAAGTTCCTACTGTTTGTCGACCTGGGAATTGAAAATGTTTTGTTTTGATACGAAGGATTGAAATTGTTACGCAAATGATTTCTTTTTTTTGGCAGGAGTTATAGTCCGCATAGGAGAAGATCACCTCCACGACGCCGTAGTGTCACACCTCCTCGACGTGGACGCAGCTACAGCAGGTCTCCTCCATATCGCCATGCTCGCCGTGCTTCACCTTATGTCAATGGGTAAGTCATGGCTGTACGATGTTTTTACAAAATGGTGAAAGATATAAGCTTGAACAAGTAGATTGTATCTGGATTGAAACTTGAAAGTGTTAGGGCTTTGTGTGACTTCTTTTCTTGTTGATACAGCTGAGTGCATCTGCTTATTTGTCTCTGCAGGGACTAAGCTGGAATTGGAGCAACTGCTGGATGATTTGAAAGGATGATATCGCTGCTATATTGTAGTTATAGTAGGATCGACAAGAATCATGATAGTTATGTTGATGTTGTGACACAATGGGTTTTATTAGGAACTTGGATTGGATGACTTGGACACCAGTTTGCGTCGATTTTCTTGCTTCAGCGTACTAAAAATGAGAGGTTGCCTTCCTACTTTGAAGTTGGCATATTATATATGTTTATATATGGTTTTGTGTGAACTCATTCTTTGTGGTTGGATTTTCACTGTTTGCAATAGATGTTCCTAAAGTTTATTTGTTTTGATTTGAGGTGTATTTTCGGCTAAAACGGCTTTGTTTCTCCGCTTACTGCAATCTTAGTGCTCACGGTTCCTATCTCTGCTCTGCATCCACCAAAGTCTTCTTCTTGTCGTTGCCCCTGCCTATTGTTCAGTGGAAGTGGAATATCCATAACCTTTGGTACTTTGGTTGCACACGACACTTTTTATTGCATTCTTCTACGACAAAGCTTCATGAACACACTTTTTTTATTAGCCGGTTCAAGAAGATGAAGTTGTTTATCGCCTTCCCCATCTCAGCACCTCTGCAGCACATCTACCTGCACGTTAGTCTCCTTCTTTTCATTGAGAAATTTGGCTGCATCTGACCATGTTAGAGTGTCATCATCATCATCATCTGCAGTGCTTCTATCATAGTAAGGCCTTATCTTGTTAGTTCTCCACTTGCTGATTGCTGATTGAAGAAGGTGAAGCTGTTGCCCTATTGGTGTTCCCTTCTCTCGAGTCTGATTATCGGTTGGTAATTGAAAGTTGAGAGCATCCATGGTAGTAATTTTAGAGTGCAGTTAGTGTGGTTGGTTAATCTACCGAGTTGCAGTGAATTGTGGAGTCCTTCACACCCATCATTCATCACCATCTTAGACTCGTCACTGAAATCGTCTGGTTGTGCTTCGACCTGCCCACACACGGCTAGGCTATATAGGATACCAAGTATTTTACCATAATATGTCTCATCAGGTAATGCTGCTTGCCTACTTTGTCAAGGTTGACATGATAAATCTGTGTCCTGCATCAAGTCATTGTTTTCCATTTTTTTTTTTTTTTTAACTTTTTTTTTCTCGTTGAAATTTCCTTTTTTTATTTTATGTCGGATGACTGTTGTAAATTGATGATCGGATTGAGATTGAGTGGATAAAATATCCTGAAAGTTTGAATTTTGAATCATAATCTGTTTAGATGGGAATTAGTGAAAGAAAACATTGAGATATTAGTGGATGTTGCAAATAATTACGAATTATATTTTTATTATTTTCATGGAATATCCCGTTGCAACAACAGCTATTTCTTGATCTCGTTCAAAAACTTCGGATGGATGCAAAGCAATGGATCCAAATATGCCTTAGGAAGAGGTCATCGTAAGTTCTATCGCAACGACTAGAAACACGTGAATAACTAACGCTAAGTAGTAGTGTAACTGTCACGCTAAAAATATTTCTCTTCCCAAAGGGTCTTTGGTTCCCTTGGATTTTGTGTTTGTTTTTCTGAGTTAGTTTCTTTGCCTTCTTACTTCTTATGTTTGTCTCCGTTCTCCCATTGTCCTCTACTTCTTTGGACATTTCAGTAAATTAAGAGTGCACTAGCAACTTTATTTACATGATCTGCTTTGGATCTTCATCCCAAATTAAGAAAATGAGAAGCAACAGCTAGACTTCTCCCGTTGCAATCGAGAATAAAACTCGATTTTTTATCCTACGTTTTGTATCACAGCACCACTCAATACTTCCATATATACTGAAGAGGAAGCAGTTCAGAGTATCGAAACGGAGGGAATGGAGATCCCAAGATTTTCCGAGATGAATCTGTGGTTTCGTGACACCATTGGCGTAATCGGATCGGCCGCGAAAATCCCACTTCGAAATCCCAGTTTCATAACATTCGTGCTGGTTACCTCCTTTCCACTATTTTGTACGACTTTAGTACCAAGATTGCCTTCTAACCAGCCTTCTTTGATCCTGGAGAAGGCAGCAATTCAGCTAAGAGTTCTTACTCACCACCCCAAAGGCCACATGATTCAATTTCTGCGAGTGTACCTTTTTGAACTTGTTAATTTCTTCACCGCACTCACAACTATATATGCTGCTTCAACAGTCTACATTAGTAGTGATAGGTGGAAGGTGAGTCTCCGAGATCTTCTTCGAAACTCAATAACCAAAACAAGGTGGCGCGAGCCCATGTTTACATTCTTGACTGTGTCCCTCTTGTCACACATTTGTTTAAGTTCGGTTTACTATTGGCATCATCACGCGAAGCCATTACTTTCGTCAAGCTGCTCAAACAGGTTACTGCAGGCTGTAAACATGGTAGTTCCTGTTGTGGCCTTTGATAAATGGGTAGAGTACGGCGCTTGGTGGAATCTGAGTGTTGTGGTTTCCATTTTAGAGAAAGATAACAGAGGTTTCGAAGCCTTTTCAGATGCAGCGGAGTTGAGCGAAGGAAATACAAGAAGAGGGTTCGTTTTGATGCTTTTGTATTCTGTTTGGAGCTTCCGTTTTCCAACCCTCATTGCAAAATGCACTTTTCCAAATGTAATGGCATATGATGTTCTTGACACAAGCTTCCTGTGCTTGGGGAAGGTTATGAATTGGGTGGTTCTCACGGTTTATTACTACGATTGTAAGAACCGTCACAAAGGGTTGCCATAAATTCCAAGGATTCAACACCAAGATCTCGTAGAGTAAAATCACTGTGTAGGGAAGATGATAACTGTAGCGAACGTGTACCATTGTCAACTGGAATATTACTAAAACCTATACCGGGCTACCCTATAACTTGAAGAGGAAGGAGTACCATAATTGCGAGAATTGCAGCAGAGATCGACGAAGGTTGCCCTAGCTAGAAGAAAATAGAGGATACGAAGTTGTCGATAGAAGAAGATTTATGTAAATTATGTATTTGTCAAAGCAGCTGCCCTTAAATTGTATAATTTACAGTTCTTATGTATTTCAACTTGTCCTGTACTTTGTGGAGACTCCAACATGCTTTGGTTCTTCATCCCAAATAAGAAAATGGGAGGCGCCAGCCGGCTAGACTTAAACAGTGTAATCGAAGTAAAACTTAGAACTCCGCATTCTGTTTGGAGCTTCGGTTGCCAACCCTCCTTGCCACTGTCCTGATCCAACCTTAGAATATAACCAAAATTTGCAGGCGTTTACAAGGGGCTAAGAAAATGGTGTCATTTCTTTGTCCTCTACTCTGTGGACATTTCAATACTCACGAATGCTTAAGTTTAATTTACTATATGACGTGCTTTGGCTTATCACCCCGAAAAAGAAGATGAGATGCACCAGCTAGACTCGTTTGATTTTGACGAAAAACTAGTATATATAGAGGATGAGGCAATACAAGATCCACAATCTTCAAACATTTTTAGTTGTGAAACTGAGGGGATGAAGATCCCGAGATTTTCTGAGGTGATGCAATGGATTCTCGGCACGTTTGGTATCATTGAATCTGCCGGAACAATCCCATTTCGAAATCCCAATTTCATAATCTTGACATTGATTACTTCCCTTCCACTATTTTTTCTGACCTTAATACACCAATTGCCTTATGACTTCCAGCCTAGTTTGATTGTGCACGCAATAAATCTGCGAACGAGTCTTTCTTACCACTCCAACCCCCTGATTTCTGATATGTCATGGGCTCTAGATGTAGCCATTCAAATTCTGTAAGTGTATTTTTTTACCCTTGGTAACTTCCTTATTGCACTCACAACCATCCATGCTGCCTCAACAATCTATGCTAGCAATGAGACGTCAATTATCGGTCTGCGAAATCTTCTTCGAAGTTCAGTAACGAAAAAAGGTGGCACGAGCGTATGATTACATTCTTCTCTATTTCCCTTCTGTGCAATCTTTCTTTGGCTGCTGTTGACTATTGGCATTACGCCAGGCCGTTATACCCTATAGGCTGCCCTACTAGGTTCTTCCGGAAGATACATTGGATAGTTTACGGCCTGGCCTTTGCGATATGGTTAGATTACAGCGCGCGGTGGAACTTAAGCGTTGTTGTTTCCATTTTAGAGGAGAAGGTAGGAGCATTTGAAGCCATTTCAGCCTCATCAGAGTTAACCAAAGGAAACAGACTAAGAGGCTTCTTTCTTATACTTCTGTTTTCTGTTGCAAAGTTCAATTTGCCAACCCTCGTTGCTCGGGAATTTACAACTATCTTTTCTTTTTATTTCCTTGACACAATCTTCATGTGCTTGGGGAATGTTATCACTTGGGTGGTTCTCACAGTGTATTACTACGATTGTAAGAACCGTCACCAAAAAGCCGTGGCCGTAACTTCTTTCGATACAGGCAATACTCTACGTTAAACTAAACTAAGATAAATTGTTGGGGGAATTTGAACTCCGCTCACCGTTGGTTTTTTACAGGAAATAAGATCACTGATCCCGAAGTTTGTAATTACTGCTTTTCTTCTAGCAATTTCTTCGTTGTGCTCACAACTATGAAAGTCTACTTTTTTTACCCTTGGTAACTTCCTCGTTGTGCTTACAACTATCCATGCTGCCTCAACAATTTATATTAGTAATGAGAGGTCAACGATCTGTCTGCAAAATCTTCTTCGAAATTCAGTAACAAAAAAAAGTTGGCACGAGCGTATGCTTACATTGATGTCTATTTCACTCTTGTGCTATCTTTCTCTAAGTGTTGGGGTTACACAAGGCCGTTAGTTCCATCAGGCAGACCAACTGCACTCTCCCAGCTTTCCCTGGCTATATATTGGATAGTTTACAGCTTGGCTATTGCGTGGTTGGAGTACATTGCGCGGTGGAACTTAAGCATTGTTGTTTCCATTTTAGAGGAGAAGAGAGGATTGTTTGAAGCCATTTCAGCCTCATCAGAGTTAAGCAAAGGATAAAGGCTAAAAGGGTTACTTTTGATGCTTGTGTTTTCTCCTTGGAGCTTCAATTTGTCAAGCCTCCTTGCCAGATGGACATATCTGTACTATCCAAATATACCTTCATACTATCTCCTTGACACAAGCTTCTTGTGTTTGGGGAAGGTTATTACTTGGGTGACTCTCACAGTTTATTACTGCGATTGCAAGAATTGTCACAACCATAAGGTCGCTATAAGTTCTTAAAAAAGCAATAAGAATCTCTCATCCCGAAGATTGTAATGTGTAAAACTACACGTGTAGTAGTTTCTATGTCAAAACTTTTCTTGTTCTTGAATGTATGTTTTTGTAGGTCCTTGTTGGCTATTGCGTCCAGGTTAATTTGAGGATATCAAGGTTAACCACCATGCGCTTAGGAACCATTCCTTGTAATTATTATTAATTTTATATCTTAATAATTCAATTGAACGCCATCAAGAAAGACATCATGTGAATTCATTGACAAAGTCTCTCCATTGTGTTTGGATCGAGCTATGAATCGAAAGCATGGAGATTGAAACCAGCCTTATGGTGAAGAAACAGAAGTCTCTGCCAGAAACATCGACTTCTTCATTTTCACGATTCTAACCTCCCTTCCTTTGTTCTGTTTCATGGTCTACCATGAAATTTGTTTCCAGAAATTCCTGTCAAAATCTTAGAAATTGCAAAGCAACCCCTAGTTTATCGCTACAGCATTTTTCCAGCAGGCCCAGCAAATACTAATATAACCAGCAGACTGAACAAAGAGCTTGTTCATCAGTTGATTCAGTTATGTCTTCTTTATCTGGTGCCTCTCCATCTCCTTGAGGCTAGTGCTTGGAAGCATTATTGCGATCTTTGACTTGGCATTGAAGATATACATGGAAGAGACACCAACGATGACTCTCAAGGACATGGTAAATAAACACTTTTCTAACATAACGCTCAAGGGCACTTCATTACATATCCCTATGTTCTCTTCTTGTCAACTTCTACTTTACTTGGACTAATATGTATACCAACAACCTACACTGTTATTTTGAGGAACTTTGTGTGCGATGTGTTGTTTACTGTGCTGTGTTTTCTGGCATTTGTGGCGCTGAGCGCGGAGTGGAATGTGAGTCTTGTGGCTTCGATATTGGATGGGGTTCATGGAACTAAAGCATTAGCTCTGGCTATTTCTTACCGCAGAGGTAACACGTGGCAGGGGCTTCGTTTGATGCTTGTTTTCTTTGCTTGGGGATTAAGTTTAAGGTTGCCATGTTTGTACTTTGGCATGCATGAAAAGGAGAATGGGATCATTGCATAGATTAGCTTGTTCTGCTTGGGGAATGTGTTGAAGTGTGGGTTGTCTGCATGGTATATTTCTACGATTGCAAGAATTTAGCGTTCAATGAGAACAATGAATGTGTCGAATGTGTTGGTGTAGGAAGAGAAGTGAAAACTCGCGAGCAATACGAGAAGCATGTCGAATCTGTTGGCAATGAAGTAGGAAGAGAGGTGGAAGCTGTTGAGGAATGAGCACTGCATGCAAGAACTAGAAACTGCGATCAAGACTTTATAGATGCTCCTTTTTCTGCATTTATTTATGTGAAAACTATGTATTACTTCCAGTAATATTTCTCATCTCACGAATTTGTGCATCTTTGTGTATACATGTTATCGTAAATCAACTATATTCTAACCCTAGGGAAGGGGCTTCGAACTTGGGTGCAGGGGCGAGCACACTTCACCCTAGCCTAAACTTAAAACAGAATTAGAATTTCAGGCGTTTAGAAAAGTTACAGGTGCTAAAAAAATGGTGTCATTTCTTTGTGCTCTACTCTTCGGACATTTCAAAACTTAAGAACGCTTAAACTTAATTTACCATATGATGTGCTTTGGATTATCATTCCGAAAAATAAGATGAGACGCACCAGCTAGAGTTCTACCGTTATTATCGAAATAAAACTGGAAACTTACTGTTTTTATTTTATTTAATACTCATATGTGTTGAAGAGGAGGCAATACAAGATCCACAAGCCTCAAACTTTGTACTGGTGCAGCTGAGGGAATGGAGAACCCAAGATTTTCTGAGATGAAGCGATGCTTTCTCGGCACCCTTGGTATCATTGAATCCGCCATGAAAATCCCATTTCGAAATCCCAATTTCATAATCTTAACATCGATCACTTCCCTTCCACTATTCAGCCTGACATTGTCACAAAAATTGCCTGTTGACTACCAGCCTACTTTGATCTATGAGGCAATAGATCTACTAGGAAGTCTTTCTGACCATGCAATGACCATTAAAATTATAGAAATCTACCTTTTTAACCTTGTTAACTTCCTCATTGTTCTCACAACCATCCATGCTGCCTCATCAATCTATACTGGCAATGTGAGGTCAGTGACCGGTCTGCGAAATCTTCTTCGAAATTCAGTAACAACAAAAAGGTGGCACGGGTGTGCTTACATGGTTCAATATTTCCCTATTGTGCTCTCATTCTTTAACTGCTATTCAGTATTGGCATTACGGAAGGCCGTTAGTTCCATCGCGTTGCCCACCTAGGCATTTCCGGCTAGTTCATTCGGGTTGCCCAACTCGGCACTCCCGGCTTTCCGGCCTGGCCATGCATTGGATAGTTTACTTTGTGGCCATTGCGAAATGGTTAGAGTGCAGCGTGCGGTGGAACTTAAGCGTTGTTGTTTCCGTCTTAGAGGAGAAGAGAGGATTGTTTGAAGCCATTACAGCCTCATCAGAGTTAAGCAAAGGAAAGATGCTAAGAGGGTGGTTGTTTTTTATGCTTCTGTTTTCTGTTGGAATGTTCAATTTACCAAGCTTCCTTGGCAGATGGACTTATCAGTATCATCGAAATATAATTGCATATTATTTCCTTGAAACAAGCTTCTCACAGTTTATTACTACGACTGCAAAAAGATCGTCCTACTAAATTCTGAAGATCAAGCAACAACATCTCCAGTTCGTGTTGAAAATATCACATTGCTGAATTGACAAAATAAATTACACTATACAAAAATTGGTCTGTTTCTTAATTACACCGTGTCCTTTTGCAGTGACATCCCCACATCTGCCGTGCTATGTAGATGGTGTGATGCAAGTTGAGAAACAATATCGGTCTGACTAGTAGCGGGGCGTTGATCCATTCCTCTGAGCTCTTTTAAGAGATTGTAACGATGTCTTTGTTAGATCTATGTCAAAATATTTCTTGTGCATTTTCGTATGTATGTATTATAGGCTTTCACAAAAGTACGAAGGGTGTCATTTCCTTGTTGACAATTTCAAGATTTATCTTTTTGCTCTTTTTTTGAAAAGAACATGAGAACTTTCCAGAATCAACCATTGATCCTAATATTTGCTCTTTTTATTAACACTAATCACCCTAAATCTCCATGCTATCTGGGATCATGATTTTATATGTATTAACTTTCATATCTTAATAATACAATTAAACGAAGAGTAAAAGTCTTAACAAAGTCCCCCCATTTCATGTGAATTAACTAACAAAGTCTCACCACTGGGTTTGGATCGACCTTGGAATCGAAAGCATGGAGATGGAAACCAGCCTTCTAGTGAAGAAGAATCAGAAGCTGGAAGCCTTCGATATTCTCCGAAAATCTCTTGCTATCTCTGCCAGAAACATCAACTTCTTCATCTCCCAATTATAACTTCCCTCCCTTCGTTCTGTTGCATGGTCTACTATGAAATCTATATCCGGTCGTGGAAATTGCAAAACAACACCCAGTTTACAGCTACAAGTACAATATATTTCCAAGATGCCCGATAAGTGTTGGTATAACGAATAGACTGAACAAAAAGCTTGCTGATGAGTTGATTCAACTGTCCTCTCTACCTGGTGCCTCACCATCTCCTAGAGGTGGGAAGCGTGATTGCGATCATTGACTTGGCATTGAAGATATACACCGAGGAAAGACCGATGATGACTCTCACGGAGATGGTAAATAAACCCTTTCCTAACAACTTCTCTGTGTCTTGAGAAACTTCGCATGGGACCTGTTGTTTGCCACATTGTGTTTGCCGGCATTTGTAGCGCTTCTAGCTCTTCATTTGGTGCTAAGCGCGATGTGGAATGTGAGTCTTGTGGTTTCGATATTAAATGTGGTTCATCGAACTGGGGCATTAACCCTGGCAATTTTTTACAGCGGAGGTAACGAGTGGCGGGGGCTTTGTTTGATGCTTGTTTTCTTTGCTTGTGGAGTAGGTTTGAGGCTGCCATGTTTGTATTTCGGCTGCTATGAAAAGGAGAATGGAATCATTGCACAGATTTGCTTGTCCTGCTTGAGGAATGTGTTGAGGTGGGTTGTCTGCATGGTGTATTTCTTCGATTGCAAGAATCTGGCGTTCAAGAAGAACAATGAATGCATCGAATTTGTGGTTGAAGAAGTAGGAAGAGAGGTGACAACTGATGAGCAATAAGCGCTTATATAAGCTGCAACAAGTTCACTCCATAAATTTATCCGTTATGTTGAATTTTTTTTCTTGCTTTTGATTATTTCTACGTTGTGTTGATTAAGTCTTTTGGCTCGATTTCCGAAGATTTTTGTTTTTTTTTTCGTTGATGATGTATGAATTTACTTGGAAATGTTCATATGAATTTGGTATAAGCTTCAATGTAGAACTCTTGTATCTGCAGTTTGAACCTGGAATGCCATTTGACAAAGTGACATTGTCGTTCTGTTAAGAATAGACATGTGTCATCAAACTAGACCGAGGACATGGGGATATAGGAAAAACGGGGATAGCAGATTAGGATCCCGGTTAGTGTCAATACTTGGTTATCATAATCAAGCTTAAGACACAAAATCAAGGTTACTTAGTAAAAAAAAAAAAAAAAAAAAAAAAAACAAAATCAAGGTTGACCAAACAATGGCTAAGAACCGAAAATTAGCACCTTGGGGGCAGGGAATAAGAAAAATTAGATTATAATCCCCTAATTTACTTAATTTCAAAAGAATCTTGACAGACTTGTGGCTCATTCACTAATTGCATTCATTGTTGTATATGAAGTCCTCGAATTTGATTCTCTCATTTCTTAGGGTAAATTACACTTCATCACTTCAGATTTGAGGTTTATTGCAATCTCATACAAAATCTTCCAAACATTTCATTTTCATATCTCAAGTACTATTTTATTTTAATATAATACATTTGTTATATTTTTCATCTATTGATTCGTTAAGAGCTAACGTGACTGCCACATTTGTGCCACATGGCAAAACAATAATTTTTTATGCATTAAAAATATTATAATAATTTATCCTATTTAAAAAAAAAAAAAAAAAAAAAAAACCCATCTTACTTCCTTGACCCCTTCCCTTGCAACCCAAAACCCCCCACCCCCTGCAACCCCTAAAAATGTGAGATTCCACATTGTCTAAGGGAGTAGATCCTATAAGCCTTATATGTATATTTTTATCTTTACTTAGCACGAAAACTTTTGAGAGCTTACTAGCTTCGAATTCCGTAGAAATTCTAAAATTAAACGAGTTCACGCGAGAGCAATTCATAAAGTTATAGCACCGTTTCACGCCATGCGATGCGCCCCTCGTTTGTCTAAAGTAAAAAGAAAAATGAAAAGTCGTCCAAGTCAAGTCCACCCTTTGACGAGTCATCATCCGCGTCATCTAGGAAGACTTCCTCCTCGCTCAGAAACTCTCTTTTTTTGGGGACAGCTCAATCAGAAACTTTAAATTGTGAGGGGATTGAGCTTGGAAGCGAAGCCATGGAGATGGAAAGCTACCTGGTTATGAAGAATCAGAAGCTGGGAGCATCGGACATTCTCAGGCAAGCTCTTATAATCCCTGCCAGAAACATCAAATTCTTTATTTTCGCAATCCTTGCCTCCCTTCCTCTCTTCTGTTTCTTGATTTACTATGAACCCCATTTCCAAAAAATAATGGTTGAGACCTCGAAAATCCTAAACCCGCTGCGAAAAGCCGACATCAACGGCTACTTGACCGACTTCGGCTTGAGGTGGTCAATACCAATTGACATATCAAGAAAATTGAACCATGATTTTTCCAATGAGTTATTTTATCTGGAATTTCTCTATCTGGTACCTCTCCATATCCTCTACCTCGTAACCGCGATTCCGATTGTTTACTTGGGATCCAAGATACACACAGAAGAGAGTCCAGTGATGACTCTCAAAGATATGGTGAAAAAACCCTTTGACAAAACAAGACTGAAGGGAACTTTTGTTACATGTTTTTATGTTCTTGTGTTGTCAATTTGTACTCTGCTAGGGCTGACATGGCTGGGAATAACCTACTATGCTGTCTTTCGAAACTTCCAGCATTTCGATGCTTTGTTCTATGCCGTACTGTGTTGGCCAGCATTTGTAGGGCTTCTGGCAATGTTTTCGGCATGGAGTGCGGTGTGGAACATGAGCATTGTGATTTCGATACTGGAGGGAGGGAGCGGAATCAAGGTCTTTGGGCAGGCGATATATTTGAGCAGCGGAAGCGAGTGGAGGGGGTTTGTTTTGATGCTCATTTTCTTTGCCTGGGAAGTAAGTTTGAGGTTGCCTTGCATCTATTTCGGCTGCTACGAAAGCAGGCATTATTTTGGTGGTATTCTTGCACAGGTTTGCTTGTTCTGCTTTGGGAATGTGCTGAAGTGGATTGTCTGCATCGTATATTTCTACGATTGCAAGAACCGGGCGTTGGAGAAGAAATTGAAGATGCAGGCCAAGAAGAGAGGTGAAAGCATTGGATGAATATCCTGATTATCCAAAGTCTTGTAGCTAAATTTGTAACTTCTTTTTGTTGGTACTAGTTAATGTGTGTTTCTTGGAATTGTGAAGATGTTGCAATCTTTCATAAATACTATTTCAACTGGATGCGTTCTTCCATCAAATGATGTATTTTTTAAACTCTCCAGCAAGTAGTACAAACTGCTCCTTTCTGATAGGAGATGCCAAACTAAGCCAGATAGTAATCTTTTAAGTAAAAAATAGCAAGAATTTAGCCATTCGCAGCCTCGTTGCAAAGGCGAATGTATTGTCTAATCAGATTTTCAAAGCACCCAGCAATCACTACAGCACTAGTAACTGCAAAACTGTCACACTGACTGAGTTATGAATTGCAGCATAAGGTCTCCACAGAAGTGCAAAGGGGTGAGAACTGGTGAAATGTGGCTCTTCCACAAAGTAGGTCATCAACCAATGGCTTCCTCTACATGTGAACATTAACAGCTCTGGGGCCATGATATTATTATTTTTATTAATCATGAAACAAATGGGGGTGTTTCAAGAAGAGCTAAAAGCGTACTCTGGTAATCAAAAGCGTAAAAATGCTTTTGGCTAGCAGAGGAGCCCTCTGTAGAAGTACTTCCAAGGGCTTGAATTTTAATAAAAATTTCAACGTGTTTCTATCAAAAGCATTTCTAGAGAAGTGCTTATGAACAAAACTGCTTTTTACAAAAGCAGACGCAAACGAAACTTTGAAGTCTATAAGTCAAGTCCACGATTGGCTCTCCTTCGAATATTCGATAGGCTGAAACCATCAAGAAAGACTTTCTGTGGATGGTTTGTGTGGACTTTGACTTGGACTTGTCCCCATTGCTAATTGCTTACAGAAAGACTTCATGTTCATTTAGAAACTCACAGTTGTATTTGAAACTCTCTGGATTGACCCTGGAAGTGAAAGTATGGAGATGGAAAGCAACCTTACGGTGAAGAATCCGAAGCTAGAAGCCTTCGGAATTCTCCGAAAAGCTCTTGCAATCTCTGCCAAAAACACCAATTTTTTTGTCTTCGCAATCCTCACCTCCCTTCCTCTTTTCTGTTTCATGATTTACTATGAATCTGTTCTCCAAAAATTCATGGTCGAAATCTCAGAAATTCTAAAACAAAACCCCGATGATCTTGACTTTTATTGGCTCGTACCTCTTGACACAGCCAGAAAAATGAAAGACTATTCTGCTGGGTTCATTCATCTCGGTCTTCTCTATCTTGTGCCTCTCCATCTCCTAGAGCTCAGCACCGTGCTTTTGATCGTTGATTTGGCATCGAAGATCTATGAAGAAGAGAGATCAACGAAGACTCTCAAGGAAATGCTACATATACCCTTTGACAAAACAAGATTGAAGGGCAGTTTTGTTACATCTGTCTATGTTCTTGTCTTGTCAACCTGTACGCTACTCGGATTGATATGGTTAGCCGCAACGTACTATGTTGTCTTCCAGCCAGTAATGTACGGACTGTACTTTGCTGTTTGGTGCTGGCCGGCATTTACAGCACTGCTTACGATTTACTTAGCATGGAGTGTTGTGTGGAATGTGAGTCTTGTGATTTCAGTGTTGGAGGGGACACATGGAATCAAGGCGTTTGCGCTAGCGATATATTTTAGCAGCGGTAGTGAGTGGAAAGGGATTCTTTTGATGCTTGTTTTCTTTGCTTGGGAAGCAATTTTAAGGTTGCCTTGCATATACATTGGCTGCTACGAAAAGGACTAATTATGTTGGTCTCGCTGCTCAGATTAGCTTGTTCTGCTTTGGGAATGTGGTGAAGTGGGTGGCCTGCACGATATATTTCTGCGATTGCAAGAACCGGGCTGTCGAGAGGAAGTTGGCGATGAAGGGTAAGACAAGTGAAAACTGTGGATGAATTTCAGGATCAGAAACTCCAGAGCTCAGTTAGGAACAGCAATCCATCAGTTTTCGCATTATGCAGATAAACTAGGTCTTCTGGCTCAATTTGTATCGCTTTATGTATCACTTTGATTGAAAAAGTTTCATATAATTAAGCTGCCCTTGTACTACCGTTGTGCAACATAGTCCCGCTCAGGTGTAGGGTTTTATCCAAAAGGTATCAGTGTTATTAGCACTGAACTGTTTGTATTTGGTAAACGATGTGCAATATATTCCATATTTATAATTGTTTGTGTAGCATTTTACTATGTTGCAATATGGGGACATATGAAACTACAACTTGTTGAGATCACTTTCCTTCACAAAGAGTCCATGGAAGCCATAAGGCACCCGCCGGGGCATCCTCACAGCAGCCACAATGTCAAGCTGAGGAGACTTGGCATCCATCACCAAGAACTTCGATTCCCCTGCCTTCTCATCGTGAACATAGGACACCACATACCCGTCGTCCTCGTCCGCATCAGGATTCTCGGGCTCTCTGGCCACGAAAAACGGCTCGCCCCCGTAGCACCCCGGGCCAAACATCCTGCTGGCCACAATGGACTCCTTGTGCTCCGAATTAGACACATCCAATTTCACCACTCCTGATATCTTAGGCATGGGATCACCCACAGCTGCATACACATACTGATTCTTCTTCCCCATGTAAGCCGGATTGATCACGGCGAAATCCAGATTTCTAGTTGAAATCGGCTGCCTCGTCACAATCCCCGTCTTCAGATCAATCCGAACCTTCTCAACCAAAGAATGAACAAGCTCCAATCTCTCCATTGTGTGTTCTGCTGACAAAACGTTTGGTGCCACCATCACAATAGCATCCTCCTCATCCCACGCATTGATGGCGTGTACGTTGTTGAAACCCGGCACCTCAAACCACCTCATCTCGGACTCGTCCTTCGCGTACCGCGGAATCACTCCAATCCTTGGCACTTTGGAAGGGTCCAAACCAACAGGGGAGGCTCCTTTAGTGATCATGTCAATAGGGTTCATCCCAATTTGTATGTCAGCAAATATGGCATATTTTTTGGTGATTGCAAAGTCATGGAGGAACGATGGAGTGACCATGGAGAATATCGGCACGTCCGGCTGCTTCACGCCATTCGAGTCGAAGCGGAAGTAGGTTAGAAACGGCGGTATAGGGCCATAGCGGAAGGCGAATGCCTCCCCCGTTTCTGGGTCTACCTTCGGATGAGCTGTCATACTCACGGAGAGCTTGCCGTCGAAATCATGGCGTCCCAGAGTCTCGATGTCTCCGTTGGACGTCAGGCGGAGGGAGTAAGGGAGATCGGACTCGCCGAGAGCGTAAAGTCGGTCGCCGAAGAAGGCCAAACTTGTGTTTGCAAGACCAATGCCATTTGCAGGATTGAATTGGCCTGTAGACAAAGTAACGTTTTAATATTTGCATCAAGAGAAATTACGTGTAAAATGTTGGAAGCTAATAAGAATTGACCAAAAACTTGTGTGACAGTAACAGCTTCAATCTATGCACTTGAACCATAGTAGGAGTTAGGTTCATAATTTAGTATGTCTTAATAAGTAACTTAGTAATGGAGTAATTAAAGTATGGCAAGTGATTTTCCCGCTTTCCTTTTCTGTTGGTGCACTAATTTCTTGTTTTGTGACATTTAAATCAAATAAATTCAATACGAATTAAAGATAAAGAAGGCTTTACAATCACTACCCTCAAAATCCAGCCTAAGAGCGAGCTTCCGCCCCTATGCTTGACGATGGGGGCGTTGTACGGTGTTTTTTGTTTTTCAGGAAAAAAACGATAAAAACAAGGCCAAAACGTCGTCCTTTTTTTTGACCTGGGATGAAAAGAAAAAACGTGGTTTCGTTTCAAGAAACATAGCAGGGACAACTTGTCAGGCCAAAAATGTTATTTTTGAGAAATCAAATTTGCAAATCAAATAATATGATTGTAGATGTTTGAATTATTAATTAAGTGTCGATTAATGTGCTTGTTTCTTATTAGATACACATCATTTCATCTGCAATTTGGTTTAGAACAACACTATATTTATTTTTTTACCCAATTTATTGTCTATTTAGTATTACTCCTTTTTACATTTTCACTCAAAATTTTATTTAGTTCTATTTATGCATATTTGGATAATGTTATAAAAACTAAATTCGTAGTCAAATTTTATTAATTAAATAACATAAAATAATAATTAAATTATTACATAAGTGTTGATTAACATTTTTACTTTTTAATAAGTAATATTAAATATTATATTTGTAAATCAAATGATGTATTACTAATATGAAATAAGCACGTCAATCAAAACTAAGTAATAATTTAATTATTAACTTTTGTGTCTTTTTGTTTATAAAATTTAATTCATCTAGAAAAATATTAGTGTTATTGGTGAAAGAAAGAACTATAAATTAAAAATTTTGTTATAAGGTATTGCGGACCCTGCCTGTAAGGACGCGGGCAGCGGAGAGAGCGCCACGTGTAGCGGAAGCGGTGAGGCCGTTGAAGCCGGAGAAGACGTTGGGAAGAATAGGGTGGCCGGCGTCGCGCTCAACGGTGTACTTGTATGTCTTGACATATCTGCTGCAGAGCACCGCCCGGCCTCCAGAGATCCTAACGGAGTGAAGCATTCCGTCGCCGTCGAACAGGTGGTAGGGCCCACGCGGAAGGTACTGCGGGTTCGGGCCATTGCGAATGTAGGCTCCGTCGAGGCACGGCGGCAGGGAGCCCTGTATGATCTCGCACTCCGTGGGCGGAAGTTCCTCAACCGGAGCAAAGTTGTAGGAGAGCACGTGCCTGGGGTCCACTGAGGGTTTCGCTGGAGGGTCTATGAAGTTGTTGATGAAGTCGTCCAGAGCGTTGAAGATCACTGCGGGTAGCGCAGAACTTTGTTGTTTTGCTGCAGTGAAAGTTGAAGCATTGTTTTGAAGTGCACGATCTGTCTTCGCCTCTAGCGGAGGCCGTGGAGTGATTTTCGGAGGCGGCGGCGGCGGCGGCGGCCTTGAAGCTGGTGGTTGGGAGGTGGGTCTTTCTTCAATTCTGACAGCGGAAATGCTGCTGAGCTTGGGGGATGTTATGGCAGGAGAGATTGATATCTTTTGAGTGGGAAATGTAGATAGAAAGGAGGAAGAGAAGGCATCCATATCTGGTTTCTTTGATCTTCACAACAAAACCCAACAGTTGGATTTTGCTGAGAAATGGTAGATCTGTTGGTCGGGATAAATAAAGGGCGTTGGGAGCTTGGGATATTTCCATGGGGTGTGAGGACCAAAGCATTTCTGGCCCAAGTACAGTAGAGGGACCACATTTCTGCTATATCTGTGCCACTTCCCAAATGGATGGTTCTCAGACTTCAAACCACACATCTGCAGGTAATAATTTCATATCCTTTGCCGTGCTTTGGAGAGAATCTACATTCCAATTTATGGTGTATTATTTTCGGAAGACTGGATGCCATGAATATTATTTGATTGAAATTTGTTGGTTTTTAATTTTTAATCAAGGTTCTTGAATTAATGTGATAATTTATTTTTATTTATGTTATTATATTTTTTAAATTAAAAATTAGAAATTTTAGGTTTTTATATAAATGAGATTTTAAATAAAAAAATCATAAGGCCTAAGTACCTTGACGAGAACTGTGAACACATGGAATATACATATGAGGCTAGTTAATTTCATCTTTCTTGTTACGTGATTAAGTAACCTGATAAGGGTAACAAAAACAAAAAATATACAACGAGGGATAACCAATGACTTGTTTGGTATCCTATTCCAAAAATTTCAACATTTATGAAAGCACTTTTTAAGAACATCTATTGAAACAACTTTAAAAACTTGTTTGGTATGAAATTTAAAATTATTTCAAATCTTAAAACTTAAACTATAAAAAAGATCCAAAGATAAGGGGTCGGAGGAGAGGAAGAAAGAGGAGACAGGAAGGGAAGAAAGAGGGGACAAGAAGGAAAGATAGAGAGGAACAGAGGAGAGAAGGAGAGATATAGATGTTTTGGGACCATTGGCTTTGGATCAAAGATAAATGAAGGGAAAATGAATGGTTGCCGGGTTGCGTGTGTAAACAAACCACATTGAATTTAGAGGGGCACCATTGGTCATTTTCTTATCAACAATTTTTGTATAATACTTGGACTAATATCTAAGTATCAATCTTCTACTTGGGAATAATGTGTTGTGATACCAATGAGTATAAATTCCAAGAAAACTTATTCAGGATTTTGTTTGTCAATGAATCTTTTTGAATGGCACTTTAATCTTTGCCACACTGTAAATCTTAAATATAATTTTTTTTTAATTATCTTTATATTTAAAACTTTCATAACTTTCTCCGCAAGGAAAATATAGAAAGTGAAAAGGGAATTTTAACGAAAAATTCATGGGACTGTTTACTTTAACGAAAAACCACATTTTTACACTAAAAAGTTAATCCTAGTACTATTCATTTTACCCTTTATTTTGTCCTTATCGTTAAAACTCAAAGTTTTCAAGCCTTTTTCATTAGTTTTCCTAAGTGAAAACGACATTAGAGGATATTATTGGTTGCAGATATAGAAAGCGAAAACAACAGTAAAGGATACAATTGGTTGTTGTGTCACAAGAGTGCATTTAATTTTGAATTTCGGTGCACTCGCATCACATTCATCTTGGTCTTTTCTTATCAACTTGTCTAGACTTTGAATTATGATTATTATATATATATATCTATATTTTTTTTTTTTTAAGAAACAAACAAATAGATACTTTTAATAAAAATAAATAAAATTGGGAGACACTAAAAATCATAAGAGAATGCCTTATGATCTTCTGTTATCGTACATTTGAATGAGAGGATGTAACAAGAAGTGACAACGAGTCATTGGTAAACCAATTGTTTATATATCTCTTTAATGATCATCTAGTGCATTTAAGACCCTATTGCCTAATGTTTTGCAGTTCATTATAAAAAAAGAACAATGAAATTGAATACATAATCTTTTTTATTTTTTTATTTTTAAACTCTCACTCAGAGAAGTTTAGAAATAACGACTATTTACATAGAATAAACTTGGAAATTTGAGGTTCCAAAATCCAAGTTTTTTTTTGCAAGAGAAAATTCTAAATTTCTATGTTTATGAACATGTCAAGTTATAAATTCTGACTTTTGTTAAAATTTCAAGTTTATTTCTTTCATCCAAACATATTACAAGCGGCAAGTGCTTATGTTTTCACTTTGTAAATCTCTCCTTACATGTAGAGTGAGAGACTGAAACTTCAATTTTAAAAAGAAGAAGACTTAATTTAAAAGAAAAAAATGGTCCCAAAAGGGAGGCAATGACTTTTTTTTAAAGAAAAACTAATGAAAATGACTTGAAAACTTTGAGTTTTAACGATAAGGACAAATAAAGGGTAAAGTGAATAGTACTAGGATTGACTTTTTATTGTAAAAGTGTGGTTTTTCGTTAAAGTGAATAGTACCAGAAACTTTTCGTTACAGTTCCCATTTTTTAAAGGGTTGTGTGTTTTTCGTGATCACATGGGTTGTCCACGTGATTTGGTAACGCAACTGCAAAATGTGTGGATTTGAAAAGCTGAAAAGGTACAACCTAGTGATATTTTTATTTACTTATAAATAAAAGGTCTTAAGTTTGAATATCATAAATGGCGAGATCACAACTAATTTATTCTCTCATATATTGTATTAACATTTTTGCTACAACTTTTTAGTTCATTTGGAAGTGGTGCTTCAAGATCTGTATTTTCATCACGAGTTGAAGAACGGGAAGGGACTGAACAGGAAGGCAACACATTTGAAGAACGGGAAGGGACTGAACATGGCACAGGAAGCGGCTAGAGATAAGGCGAAATCTTGTGTAAATTGTTGTAAACAGATAGTGACACGTGGCGCGTCAGGATTGGTTGAAAATCTTATCGAAAATCTATTCACAAAATAGTACTTTCGGATAATGACACGTGACATGAAAAAATAAGTTAAAAATCCTATCCGAAATTAAAACTAATTTTTATTATTTTATAAAAAAAATAATATTTTAAATGAGCTGGGTGCCAACGCATTTTTTAGGGGTAGAGTTGCATTTGCCCAATTATTGTTCGTTGATTTCAAGTGTTTAAATATGAATTATAATAGGTTTTGTACGGAAAAATATATTTTGAAGAATATGAAAATTATATTTTGTTGTTATGGTAAGAGAAATAAAAGAAAAAAAAAGCGGAAAAGAAAAAAAAATGAAAATGGGCTCATCGGTATGAAGTTAGCGACTTATTCTCTATAGTCGCTAACTTACAAGCAACTTCTTCCGACTAGAATCAGTATCCAAGTACCGATCGTATCCTTTTCTATTTTTTTCTCCTTTTTTCTTTTCCCATTGAATATTTTTTTCTTCCTACATTACTTTATTTAGATTGAAATTCCTTTAGATTAAGATTTATATCCTTGTTTTCAGATTTTTTGACATGGATTATAAAAAAAATTTCATCGATTCTAAAAAATTTGGTGTTGTGGTATGGGAAAAACAAAATTTTTTTAAAAAATTTAAAATTAAAATAAAATTAATGGCTTAGGTGCAGGGAGACGCAGCCCAAACTCATGCCCTCGGGAAGGCCTAAGGCGCAGCCAAAAGCAGTGAAGGCCCATAAGGTCTAGAGTTTAGCGACGTGTGGATAGTAACACCTTCAGTTCAAGTGTTTAGGGGCGTGTGAATCATAACACCCTGAGTTCAATGCATTTTAGTGCCCAGCGCACTTGAATTCTTTTCCCTGCAGCAACGTGGTGAAGAAATGTTTTTTTTTTTTTAAGAAGGGGTTACTGAATTAAAAGTTACGACTTTTGTGTGAATTCTATCATGGTTGATAGCAGCTTACAAATGCCCCAACCCCTGCAATCATACTTCATCCCGCCGACCACGGTTGACCCTTGAGATTAAAACTAAACCCTACTCCCTATTAATAACGACCTATAAATGCCCACCCTCGACACTGTTGAGCCATATATTTTCATAAAGAAAATAAATAGTAGTCCAAAACGTGGACCGACTAGAAATAAGGTTCACATTATATATATATATATATATATATATATATATATCTTGTATATATTATATATAAGAAGAGAAAAAAAAAATCTCACTTTCAGAAATTACATCACAGAAAAAGAAAAAAGCAAGGAAAAACCCGAAGGAAAGGTTGTATGACAGATTGCTAAAACCCGGTGACTCAGATTCATAGGTTATTTCTCCACAACTGGAATGGCCGTATTACAGATTGCTAAAACCCGAAGGAATTTCTGTATGATATCCGAATGAGGTTCATTGACCCACTGCCCATTCATGATGCGTTCGTCTCTAAAGTTGAAACCCTTTATTGACTTTCTAGAGTCAACATTATTACTAACATGATCTAATACATCACCAGTTTCAGGCAGTCCATCGACTCCGTCCTTTCTGTTTGCCAGCGCCCTCTCCAAAGATATTGGTATTAAATATCCATACAACATAAGCGCTGTCAAGAAAGGGAAAAAAGACGCGAGTGCTGGTCTTTTGGGGTCATAAAACACGGTTGAATGATCTGGATGAAGATACCACCTTCTTATATTTCCACCACTTAGATCCCGTCTAGTGTTGATTCCAAAAAAGAGAGATCCAGTAAAGGCTATCATGACCAGAGAACTGAAAAGAATGTAGATTATCTTATCCATTTTCCTCTCGATTTTACTTCTCTGTGAAGGAGGATCTGTTGCATTCTGCATCACTTTTGTGTTGTGTCCAGTAAAGACGACGACACCATAGACATATTCAGTATTTTTCAGCTTAGAATCTCTTAAGAGCATCTGTTGTAAGGAAAGCGAGTAAGGCTTTCCATCATATAACAATGTCCCAACAAATGAATACAGACTTTCATTTGGGTCCTCGCACTTGATCACCGCTTTAAATTTTTCCAAGGAATCTTCATCTTGAAGATGGGATGTCACCTCCAATGCATGCTTCAATTTTAAATTAGTTTCTCCATCAAGGTTCATAGTATCAACATAGCAAATCCCATCCTCATAGCTTGACGAAAGCAAAAGCAGATCCGCAGGAAATTACTCATCCTTGTGCACCTTCACAGCATCTCCAACCCGGAGTTTCTTCCATCTGGTCTTGTAGAATGTACAATTCCTACCATAAACTCTAACCTTTCGACTGTTTGCCTCAATATCTTGGAACAGTTTCGAATTTATAGCCAATTCAATTAGGAGAAGCAAATAAAAAGAACAATCAAAATATTAATTTCGAGCTACTTCCTAATAGCATTGATCCTACAACAACCAAAATGACTACATATTCTAAAACCTCCCTGCATATAGCACAATTCAAATGCAACTACACTTTATATTCTTTACAGATAATTTGTAAAAGCGCTTTCAGTCATTGAAAAGCAGTTCCTAAACGAGCCCTAATTCAAATATGACTATACAACTTCAAATAACTAGTAATACCAATACTGCAAAAATGTTTACCTGCTTTCTTTGCTTCCAATCTTCAACGGCTTCCTTAGCCATAGTAGCTCTAATCACCACTATCAACGGCACAGCTACACTAACAGCTCTAAAGGGGGCCAACAGACTGAACGAAGTTACGAAACACAAGCTACAACGAGAAAGTATATATTTGCAACCCTCCTAAACTGCTCAAACAATGACTTTGGAATGAAGTTCGTTGCCGTGTACTTGGTAGTCGAAACATAATTTCCCCTGTATCTCAACTCAAGTGCCTCTGGATATCACCTATGAAAGCGAAATTTTGCACCAATTTCTACGCCAACGGAGTGTCAAGACAATTAACGCAAATCTACTCAAAATCGACAAAACCCCATTGAAGGAGGAGCTCAAAGATCAAAACTTGAGCAACACATCAGAACATTGATTAAGTGCCTTGCTTACCCAGAGCAACAAAGTGGGTGCACAAGGTTTGCATCTTTAAGCTCCATATTTATCTCATTGATTATTTGTTTCATAAAGCTAGCCTTTTGAGTGTGGCAATTGGCTTTTTTCACTGTTTTACTGTTATTTTTTGTTTTTTAAAAGTTTGATTATTTCAAATATTATTGCTTTTATTAAAATATATATTGAATTTTGCCTATATGTATAATAAAAGTGAAAATAAAACAAGAAAAAGGTTGATATAAATTGGAGCAAAGATGACAAACTTTGTACACGGCGAAGAAAACCAGGTGGGTGGAATTTCAGGAAACCCTAGAAGTTGTGTTTCAGAGAATTCCTTACTTCCATTACAGGCTTTGCGGAGATCTCTTGCTTGCAGCAGCTTGTTTAGTTTTCAGCTCAAAATCTAGAGAAAGAAAGAGAGGGAGGAGGATTATCTACCCTCCTAATCTCTTTACCCTTCCATGCCCTCCTATTTGAACGGTCACGGTTAAGCCACATCAACATCTTATATTGATTTTTTTTATAAAGATAATAAGACAAAAAGTAATGTGTGAGAGGAGGAGATGGAATGGCATGAGAATAGGAGGATAGAGAATCCTCATCCGAAAGAGAGTGGAGAGAGAGAGAGTGAGAAAAAAAAAATAATAAGTGAACTTTGTATGAGCAATAGTTGTTAGCTTTGCCGTTTTAATAAGCAATGGGACATAGAGAGAGAGAGAGAGAGAGAGAGAGAATCTATTGTAGTAGATAAAATGGGACTCGAACCACGGGATCACCCCTACAATTTGATACAAATTGATTCTGTCTCAAATTTAAAATTCATTAGTAAATTGTAAAATATATAACTGTGTTCAAAAATTGAAATAGAACTGTAACGAAGCGTGACGGTATTTGTGGTCTTTGTGAATTTGGTAGAATAAGTTCGAAGAAGATTCCTTTTAATTCGGAAAAACTAGAATAACGGTGTACCAATATGATATAAATTGATGTCATTATTGGGTTTGTTTTCGATGTGGTTTGAGCCTGTAGGGAATGAAGGCAACATAAGGTTACATGAAGATTGGTCACAATCTTTGCCCGTACAAGTGGCTGACTGTGATTCTGCTTTCTTGAGTCCCTTCTTCCCTTGGTCAAACAAAAGTTAGAAAGTTAGAACCGTGCATAGTCATCACCTTTGTCTTGTAGCTTCTGGATAACTTTGAGGAAATATTTCGTTGGAATGTTCTAAATTAATTTTAGGAAATATGTGGTGCAAGTAGATAACTCTAACATTGGCTTACAACGAATGTTGTGAAAGTTCTCAAAATCGATTGGAAAATTGTTAAGGAAAAAATTGAAATTTTTAGCTTTAGCAAATATTTTGTCTTGGAGTTAAGGAAAATATTGCAAGATCTTTGGATGTGATCATACCGTTTATTAGGTATCAAAACTATTTTTTATTGATTCTTAAAGTGGAAAATTACAAAAATATCTTTAAATTTAGGTTTTAAATCGTTGATTTCAAGTGTTTAAATATGAATTATAATAGGTTTTGTACGGAAAATATATTTTGAAGAACATGAAAATTATAGTTTGTTGTTATGGTTAGAGAAATAAAAGAAAAATTAAAAAAAAAAAAAACTGAAAAAGAAAAAAAAATGAAAATGGGTGGATCGGTATGAAGCTAGCGACTTAATTTAAACATACTAGTGACTTTTAGTGAGGAGGATCAGTAGAAAAGTACCGATCGTATCTTTTTCTTCTTTTTTTTTCTCCTTTTTTCTTTTTCCATTGAAATTTTTTTTCTTCCTACATTACTTTATTTAGATTGAAATTACTTTAGATTAAGATTTATATCATTGTTTTCAGATTTTTTTGACATGGATTATAAGAAAATTTTCATCGCAAACACATTTTGTAGAACATGAAGATGATAGTTTGGTGTTGTGGTATGGGAAAAGCAAAAAAAAATTAAAAAAATAAAATAAAATTAATGGTTTAGGCGCAGGGAGACGTAGCCCAAACTCATACCCTCGGGAAGGACTAAGGCGCAACAAAAGCAGTGGAGGCCTATGAGGTCTGGGGTTTAGCAGCGTGTGAATAGTAACACCTTAAGTTTAATTGGTTAGGGGCATGTGAATAATAAAAGCCTGAGTTCACAACGCGTTTTAGTGCCCATCACACTTGAATTCTTTTCCCTTGCAGCAACGTGGCGGTGAAATGTTTTTTTTTTTAAAGAAGGGGTTATTGAATTAAAAGTTACGACTTTTGTGTGAATTCTATCATGGTTGATAGCAGCTTATAAATGTCC